ARWTTTKGRRGKTTYMAWKRAMCSRWTTTYSTYMWWAAAAWAAAAWAAAAACATTWGCAACAACAAWWTAAAGTAAATCCTGGMGAGCACTAGTAACAATCAAAAGAGCAAGGTTGATAAACCAACTCAATGAAAGACCGCTTATTAAGAAAGACCACTTCAAACCTGKAGATAGACGGGGATYTCTTTGACTCCTTCGGTGAATTCAATATTCCCAGAAGATGCGTTAAATGTCKTGCTTGCTGTKGASGCAGAGGAGGTAATTCTRGTGATCTTCCAYGAGACCGAGGCCTTKCCAATCTGGCCTATTTTACGRAGRATCCTGTGTAAAAAGTTRGAAATGGTGAATACAAGATTTCGAGACTGACTTACGATCTATCAACAGTAATAGAAATACCACAATATCGTTGATATTACCACAGATACGGCTTCAGAATATGTAGATAATTTCAAAATTTAATTCTTTACTAGTGTTTCATCAGGTTTTCAAATACAGTCAACTCTCTCATAAACGACCACATCGGGATCAGGAAAAAGTGGTCGCTTACGAGAGATGGTCGCTTACGAGAGAGCATTTTTTACAGAGTTTATGTGGGAAACAATTATAAAGGGATATTTAAAAGGTGGTCGCTTACGGGAGATGGTCGCTTACGAGAGTGGTCGTTCAAAGAGAGTCAACTGTACCAGAAAAAGGCCATAAAGTGATTCTATGGTAATAGTACTAAGCGAGCCTCCACTGATTGTACAGTGTACCGTACATGCTGTTATACAGTCATTGACTTCATGTCCTTTACCTAAACTCACCTTATTACAAATACACCATCATATCCTTGATTATTGGGTTCTCCTACAAACAATCTTGTAGTCGAAGGGTCGATGGATATCACGCCTTGCGGGTTATCATTCTCTTTTATCACAACAGCGGCTCGATTGCGCGATGTGTTAATTTTAGCATTATTATTTACAGCAACGAGGAGGCAGTCAAACTGCTGTGCTGCCTCGGGTATGTCGTCGTTAACCGCAAACAGCTCAATAAACTGAGACCGAACTCCCTGGGAATTAGAAAATGGACAGTGACTTATGATATTAATAATGATGATGTTGATGATGATGATAATGATAGTGATAATGATGATGATGATGGTGATGATGATAATGATGGTGATGATGATGATAAAGATGATGATGACTTTACCTCTTTGAASGTCAAGGTGCCATTATAAGGGGTTAGTTGTGACGTATTGTGTTCTAAACGCCACGTGACATCGACTTGACCATATGAACCAGCTCCTCTGACGACCTCGAGACGAATAGAACTACCTTCTTCTACAATATTCGATTGCAGAGGCGAAACTTTGAAGCTGAAAGGACAGAAAAGTGATAAGTTATTGATAAAGTTAACAGATTACAAACATAAATTACACGACATGATGTAAGAAATCTAACAAGCAGCTCTTCCTTCCCTTCGACAACCTTTGCCCCCTCGTTAGCCCTTGGTTCTCATATCCACCATCAAACGTTTTAGAATTTCAACAATGAAGAATACGRCCATAATTACCCAAACACCCCTTGAGGATCATCATTAGGCTTGATCTCTACATCTACGCGTCGTTTTCTTCCTATTCCAACTCCATTGATAGGACTAACGATTGCCACATGAAACTCCTCAGCCAACTCAGGCGTCCCATCCTTAACCACATTTATACTGATATATCTCGTTGTCTGATTGTCTTCAAAATACACAGTGCCATTTTCAGGGGTGTAGTCAGAGCTTGAGGCAGGCGTCACGGAATTACTCAGTGATGGTCGTACGACGTAACGCAATCCAACACGACCCGTCAYGCTACCATTTCGGACAAGCGTGAGCGTGATAGTCGATCCTTCAGTTGYTTGTAATCTCATGGATGAGATGTTGAAGTTGATCTCGCCTAGTGATTGGTTATTTTGAGARATAACGACTTCGAGTAACCTGGCCTTTGTGTTGATACGGGGGGAATTGGTGACTAGAGGTGATGGTGGAGAACCCGGTTGTAGAGTGACTGCGGTGATGTTGATGACAAAAAGTTTGTTGATGGAARTACGATGATTCTGAAACACAAAGGTTGTAATATTTCATCCTACATTCTCTTTTAATCGATCATTATTTGAAGTACACCATAAATCGATTCAACTATTCAAACGTTAAGTTGGAGGTTTGACTCGTATTCATATGTTACTCAAAAATTCGAATCATATTTGCCAAAASAAGTTACATTATGATTCGAATTTTTGAGTAACATAAAATCCCCTTCGGTGTCATTTTCGATGAGATCACCTTTTTTGCGACCAATTAGATGTAAGTTTGTGTTCAACTATAAATGAGTGCAGTCGCTTAAACAGCATCTATTAATCTGTTAATTAYCACTGTCTTTTTCCAACAGTTTTAGGTTGTTACTTACATGCATGATTTCAATTTCAATGTCAGTACTATTTACACCAGCAGCCATTGTCACTTGACCTCTTTTGGACACATAATCAACTCCAACGACTGCTGACTGCTCATTGCTATGCAGCGGTCCCGCTGGCGCTTGTGTCTGGTAAGCAACCAACACGCCGCCAATCATGCCTCGAGTTCGTGTTATTGTCAAGGTAACAGTTTTGTTTATTACTGTGGATGCTTGTGAGAGGTAATATGTGTTKAACCAGCTAATGACGCCATAGGGATCGTCGTTTCCAGGGATAGTGAGCGTTGCTAAGGCACGTGCCGTRTTTATGACGGCGCCACGTCCTGGTTGCRATGAGCCAGTTTCGTTTAGTGTGAGTAGMCTRGAAAAGAGTGGAAATGACCGCTGGATTTAGATAGTCTTCTTTAAGAAATGAACAGACGTCAACAATTAACTTAAGTAGAGTTAGTAAGTTAATGTAAAACCAAGCTAATGTACAACATTACTTTTATAATAAGGATAATAATATAAGACTGGACTTGTATAAACAGCTTTAGGATTGGTAACTATGTTACTGCCTATTTAACTGTAAATAAGGACGAAATTTTCTTACCGTATTTTAATAACTTTGTCCAGTTCAGGAACATGATCRTCCTGTAAGCGAATCGATATGTTTTGCTTMGATTCTCTACCATCAAATACCAGAGCGCCAGAAACTGGCGAGATCTGTCCTTCTCTGTAATCTCCCGTAGCATTCCACAAAACAACGACTCGACCAGACTGACCATATTCGCGAACAACTTCAAAATTAACAACTGTATTGTCTTCGACTTGAGTCAACTTGAGTGAATCATCACTGAAGCCTATTCTTCCATGCGCATTGTCATTGGACAGTATTGTCACGGTCAGGTAACTTTTTGAGCCAATCACAGCCTTGCCTGTGGCATTTCTTAACGCAATGGAAAAGGATTCGTCTGTTTCGGGTGTATTGTCTTGCAGGATAGTAAAGTCGAGCTCGATTTCTGTTTGCCCGTTTTCGAATATCAGTTGACCTTTTCTGCAAGGAAAAATAAAAATCAACATATTAAGACTTTTTATATTAACAAGTACAAATATCCGCAAAAAGCAACCAAATGATGAATGTTTGCAAATAAGGCTAGATTAAGTTATTTACCTTGGAACATAGTCGGCACTTAAAGAAAGTTTAACAGGACTCAATACTGGAGACACCGCTGACCCAGACATTGCAGCAACAATAACCTGGACGTCGCCAGCAACAGGGTCCGCAATGACCACTGGGAATCCAGAGTTTATAGCTTGTACTGTGGTGTTCTACAATGATAATTATAAATGTTGGTAACACGTGTTTGATCTTTTTAAAGATTTTTATATTTAAAAATAGGAAAGCTTAATAACAATGAGATTAGACCATTATTTGAATTTTTAGCGATGTGGGGCTGATATTTGCTCATTGGTTATAAGAAAATTCCCCATTAATGATATGAATTTACATATTAAGAAAATATGTATAGTTTGAAAACATTTGTAATTACCAT